TCATGCCTAGTACATGCTTTGTCGAGCCTATGTGCCTACAAGCCTTCCAACCCTACTAAACATATCATGCAGCACGGGCCACCCGCCAGCCAGTGTAACCCCGGGCCCCAGTTGCCCTTCCGGGCCTCCGGCTGTTTCTTGACATGCCCGACGGGGCCCGTCAAACTGACGAAATGGCTCCCGAGTCCCGACAATTTTTGGGGGGCGCTGGTCAGACCGAATGCAGAATACATATTATATATATTATGTGAATAATATATATATATATATGCATATAACTGTCTATACGGGAAAAAAAAAACAAAAAGAACCCTCTTTCTTTCTCGTTTTCTATGTTTTCATTTTTTTCTCTCCACGATTGTACCAGGCCCCCTTGCATAGGGCCATGGCAGCCATGCTCACGTTCTTTCAATCTCTCTCTCTCTCTCTCTCTCTCTCTCTCTCACACACACACACACACACACACACACACACACACACAAACTCCCATTCCGTGAGAGTGTGTGTGTGTGTGTGTAGAGAGAGAGAGAGAGAGAGAGAGAGAGAGAGAGAGAGAGAGAGAGAGAGAGAGAGAGAGAGAAACAGCAATTTCGTCAAAACTGACATTTTTCATTTTTGGGGTAATTACGCGGCGGTCACAAAAACAGTTCGAAAATGCAGTCGAAACACGTTTGTGCAGTCCAGTCAGGCCCGACATTCGAACTGCACTTGAAACTAAGCATTGCGGAAAAGTCCGTGCCTCCAAGATTCAAACTGCAGTTTTGTTTTCTATGTGGCCCATGGCCTAGGGTCTTCCCCTGGCCCGTGATCTGGTGTTCAAAAGAGCAGGAAGGTGGCCTGCGAACAGGTAAGCCAGTAGCCTTTCTATTTCCTAAGCAGCGGCCATCCCCACCTGCCCTCTCTCTCTCTCTCTCTCTTGCGCGGGCGCACACGCATGTGTGTGTGTGTGTGTGTGTGTGCGCGCGTTCACTTACGATATGCACACCTTCAACAAAAAAAGCACTACTGCACTGTTTCTTCGGACTTCCACCGAATACAACGGGCACCGACCCACACACGCACACACACACACACACACACACACACACACACACACACACACACACACACACAAACACAAACAAACAATCAAAATGTCATGTGTGTGTGTGTGTGAGAGAGAGAGAGAGTGGCAGCGGGAGTAGGGGGGGAAGGGGGGTTGGATTGGTTGCGGGGAAATGGATACATTGATACAAAGGTTTCATCGCGGGAAGGTTTCATTTTCCAAAGAATCCAAACCCACCCACACAACGGCTGAGAAAGCAATACTAGAATTCCATTTCCAGGTATTGTAGTAGTGGTACTGTAGTACTACCACTTTTTGTCATTCAAAACCAAAGGACAAAAAAAGTTAACACTGTTTAACATGTGTAATGTAATACAATCCCCCCAAACTGTCAACCAGCTGGCGGAAGATCGACAATGACCGACCGCCTCCTTTAGGCTGCAGCTCTTCCCAGTCCCAATCATGTTCTTCCTTCATCATCGGGAAGACGATTATTGACAGCCATATCAACATCTACACCCTCCATCTTCACAATGAAGGTAGCAAACATCGCAAGAGCACTTCTCAATAGCCAAGACGAGTACAGTGCTCAAACATCGAGAGTCGGTTTCGAACGCCAAAACCACTACAGAGCTACAACCAATCCCAATCGCAAAAAATAGGAAATAGAAGCTGACCAGTCCACCTAACGTCTTGTCCAACCGCAGGCCACTGAGGCCATTGAACTCTTCAGCACCATTCCCTCATGCATTCACCTCAACAAAACTTATCAGTCTTCTTCCCACAACGAACTGCAGAGGTGTTGTAGCCACCCTTTCTTCTAGCACAATGAACCATTGAACCCCTCTATCACCCTATTTTCAACGGCTTTATACAGTGTTCTTGTCTACTATTTGCACTGGACAGTGGATATCACATAACACATCTTTACATGTCCCTGTCCCGTTGGCAGAGTGCTTCCACCACCTGTCGTAGCCTTAAACGTCCACGTGCGCGCACCCACATACACACACACACACACACACGTACGGACGGAGAGAAACCGATCAGGAAACTGTCCTCTGCTAGTTAAGGGCCCGAGAAGGGTGGCGGATTCAACAAAGTACAGGGTGGCGGATTCAACCAAGTACGATGGCAATGAATCGCATCATCGTATAGAGTGGGCAAGTTAGCCAAGTACGACAGCAATGGATAGCACGTCTATAGCAAAAACCTTTCTACAAGTACCCTCAACACAATTATGCTAGTGTTTAGCTCGCACACACACACACACACACACACACACACACACAAGAACACAAAACACGCACACAGTGTCGATTGTGTCGAACAATCAAGGACACAAAAGGCAATTATCGCTATCTGTCCTCTCAGGCCAGATTACAACAATAGGGCGAGGAGTACGTCAAACCGGTCCTCCAAAAAGAAGAGAAATTTGGGACAACTGATATATACATTCCCCAGAAATTTCCTCCGTAGATCGTGGCCACCCATTCGTCAATCTCGAACTGTCCATCCTCAGAGTGTGGGCCGTGGCTTATCTTCTTCGCTGCATGTGGTTTGCTTCCTAATCTAATCTGGCCCAAGCGCATGCCAATCCTTTTCCTGTCCCTCCTCTCGTTGGTCCGCGTCCCGAGCTTCTAGCTGGTACCGAGAATGACAACCCAGTACGTCGCCCCATTCGCGCTACGCCTGGCTACACCGATGTCCTTGTACGTTTGGTCCAGAAGTACAGCACGCGTGGTTGGGTTACTCACCCACCCATCAAAAGGATTATCCCCTCCACAAGACACAAGCTCCACGGCGTAGTCGTAATCTCCAAACCATTTGCACTCGTTAGCTGCAGCTAACGCCGCTGATGACCACGAGGGTGGGCGCCCAACGCACCCGCACGCGCAAAAGTCGCCACCGTTCGCAACAACGCGGTCGTGCAACGATCGACGAATGAATGAAAACAGAACCACGACAAACGAGCCAGGAAACAGGACCAGACACACGGAGCAGGAACAAGCAGCGGGAATAAGGGTTAGGAACGAAGCCAAGAAAGCGACCAGGCACAAGGACCAGAAACAGCAGCTAACAAACAAAAACGTACAAAAAACACCAGCACATGTTGTCAACAATTTTAACAGCACTCGATTTTTGAAAAAAACACAAAAGAACAAGGAAAACATTTACCTGCACGATACACTAACTCTCAGAAAATCGCATTGAACCGCGTAGTAAACTAGAAAATTACCACTGAGTTTCAGGAGACAACATTAAACTCATGTTACTCCACCATACACTAAACTGCTATATGTACATTCACACACACACGCACACACACCATCATACACTTAAGACTGTTGAATGTCTTTTCACAGCGTGACACACACACACACACACACAGACACAGTCTTTTCACAGCGTGACACACACACGCACACACACACAGTCTTTTCACAGCGTGACACACACACACATACACCATCATACACTTAGCTGTTCAAAGTCTTTTCACAGCGTCACACACACACACACACACACACACATACACACACATCCGACTCTATCCGAAAGAATGCGAGATGTAAAGTGAGCGGAAAATATTTCCTATGGGAGGTAAAGTGAATCAAGGTGTCCACCTTCAGGGAGAGAGACAAGTGAATGGCCAACCAGGAAGGCCAACCAGGAAGGTTAATCCACTCCAAAAGGATCAAAGACCTCGGGGAAACCAATGAATGAGAGGTGGAAGGTAAAACCAAAAATCACTGATCACGTCCAAGGAGGACACTTCTGAAGCGGGGGGAACCGGAAAAACGAAAAGAAGCAAAAGGGAGAATTTCGGAATCACACGTCCGCAACACAACTGGCACATAAGTACCAGACAGCCCCCTGCTGGAAAGCGTGTGCAGTGGACGCTTCCGCTCCATAGAACGCCGTCGACGCCCTCAGTGCCAATGAATACGAAATTCACGCGACTTTATCCACATGTTAGCGGTCGACGCACTCCCGTTTCAGCTCTGGCACCGTGGCACGGTGGCACCCGAACCTCAGGTTCTTTCGTGGTCCCGAAGAGTGTCACAGGAGCTATCGTAGTTCCCGCTCTCTTCTCCATACAAGGAAAGCCCCGACATGCCATACAGAGAGCAGACAGAGGTCATACAGAGGTGAATGAGTTTCGACATTCGATCCAATCGCCAGCACACAGACGGAATCAGTAAAGCAGACAAGGCTCACAAGGGTGACGAACTCTTCCCAAACGATTACAACCACCAAACGATTACAACCTTACAGAGAGAAGAGGAGGAGACAAGAACGAGAGCAAGGGGTGACGAAGGTTTGAGAAGAGGACACATAAGAGAGCAGGGTGAGAAGAAGGTTTTGTATGTGCCCTTTTACGATTACCTTTGTTATCTCCTACGCACGCCCCGCCCGCCGAGGTAATAGCATCCATCCGCTTATCTGCGGCGCAATCCAGGTCACCCTCTCTGTCGAGGTCGTCTATGTCCGCTTGATCCCGCAGATGGTTGATACGCATACTCATTAGCAGCTCCCGCGGGGTCAGCAGCGCCATCACCATCCTCTGTTCGAGAGCCAACACGACGACTACGCCCATCACCAGCAAAATAGAGAGCCGGGGAGGACGTATTCCTCGCTTCCTGCAGCTCGGGCCGCGAGATCGCCCACTTTGTCCACTTCTAGACCGGCCTCTGGGCTCTACTTCCCCTCCCATCGTCATCACCATATTCGCACTTCGCATCACCGAAAACGTCCACTGGAAGGTCAAACCGCGGGGACGAAGTTTGGCAAGACTTACGCCCGTCAACGCCAACGTCTCTTGACTGCCCGGCGCGGCGTGGCCTGCGTGGCGTGGCGCGCTGACTTTTCTAGACAGCAGCCCTAGCCTTTCCAGAAGTGCGACACAATGTACCCTTTGCCCTCCCAAACTTGGGTCGTACTTGTCACGCGCGACGACTTTTCTAGACAGCCGCCGTAACCTTTCCAGAAATGCGACACAATGTACCCTTGTGACCCTTGTCCTCCCCAACATCCTTCGTACTTCTTATATAGGGAGAATAAAGTTTCACAACATCTGCCACAAGCGGCTTCACGCGGTAGCTCGTTTTTTAAAGGCCAGGGTGTTGTAGAGGCCCTGGACCAGACCCGCGGTGATTGTTTGGAGCGGCAGCCAATGGTTGTCCTGACAGGATACGCCACCTACCCTACCCATCCCCACGTTAACACTCCCAGCGCACCCCCTGTCCCTACTATCCTACCTCAGTGTGACCAGCACTCAGGACCATCACCCTACCAGTATTGAGGGCAACTTGGACCAGACAGCAGTGACAAGCACCAGGGCTGGGCCAACCTCCCAGCCCTAAGGCGAACGGGAACTTCAGACGCCAGGCTCATGCAATGTTCTACAGGCCCAATTCAGAGAGTCTACCCAGCAGGGGTACCTAAGCAAGACAGGCCAGCGCCCGCGAACACATCCTATGGTCCTTCCCCTGGCTTACCCAAGGCTAGGCGGACTTCAGACTAACCGGAGCGACTTATATCCCTACCCTACACTAGAGCTAAGCCATGCATGCGTAGACCCCGTCATATACCTGATAGACCAACCCAGCCCAGTATCATAGTTGTGTATATGTGTGTGGCCAGAGGCTATGCATGTTTGTATGGGTTTCATCGGGCCATGTTTTTGTGTCTGCCCGAAGGCTATGTGTGCTCTCTGTAATTGTACAGCGAGATATGTGTGCCCAAAGGCCAGATATGTGGAGTACTACGTAGAGGGAACTATGTGTTCGTTTTTTAAGAGATGACAGGCCAAGTTAGTCAGAGCACCGGCATCACAAGGAACAGGTTTGTGGGTTCAATTTCGATCGGCCGTCAGCCTGGCCAGCCTATGCTCGGGTTGGTGTAGCATCGCTATACCTGCTCCTGGGGCAGTGGGGCAGCAAGCACCGTATATGCCAGCAGGTTGGGGGTGCGATGATAGGTGGGTAGGACACTGTGGGTCGTCCTACCACCTCTCCTGAGATACTTCCTCCAGGCTCCTTGTTATRGTTGTGCTTATGCCAATCACCAGTTTACAGGGGGGAAGCCCCAGCCTGGCACAGCTATGGGTGCTCCATGGTCATCAAGTACTGGTGTTAGGTTTGACACCCCACGCTACGTGACCCTCACGACCGCGGAACCTGCGGCCTCGTCCGCGGCGGAGGAGCCCGGCCGCTACCCCGTGGCCTAGGCCGCGCAGCCGAGCAATTTCGCAGCCGCGTCACGTGCAGGCGGAGCCGCGCGCTCGAAAACGGGGCGCGCGCATCGCCTGCGCATGGCATCCCCCTCCGGAAGCAACTAAAAAAAAAAAAAAAAAAGTGAAATTAGGGGGGGGTCATAGGTTCATAGGCTCATAGCATATGAAAGCATCAACCCGTCTTCATGCAGAATTTCAATCTCGTAAAATCAACATGCGACAACGTAAAAGCGTTCGAATAAGCGTTCGAATATTGCAAAGTCAACACAATACAGGTTGGGCGTCCCCAACGCCGCGTCTTGACACCAGCCACGGTGTCTCATCACGGGTTTCCTCTGGCCTTCTTCCCCTTACAACTCTGTCGTCTCCCCAAACCCACTCCCGTTCTCACTTAGCGCCAACATCCGGATGCTGGCGTGCCTTGAGGTACGTTCGACCTGTAAAGGACGTAAACACTCGGATGCTCTGTATTAATACCTCCGGAAAAATATGACCCAAGTAATCTACCTACTGCGAAACCGTACCGTACCCTTACATAAAGCAGGCAGTCATATGTACAGCTGCTGGCACGATGTCGGGCCTTCCAGCAAATCCCAGACAAAACCACCTACCGGGTCCATGTACCAGTGGTCCAAGAAAACTTGGAACGTAAACACTCCGTACTATCATGTCCTAAGTTCAAATCATCCCGAAGACCTCGGGTTCAAAAGAGAATCAAACTCAACCGAGACATGCCGATCCGGGTATCGAGGCACGGTAGATACGGTCCCTGTTCAAATTCAAACAAAACCCAGACATGTCGATCCAGGTATCAACCAAAACACTCAGAACTACCTAGTCCTAAGTTTAAATCATCCCGAATACCTCAGAGTAAAAACAAAGAGAATCAAACAAAGCCCAGTCGTGTCGATCCGAGTATTAAGGTACAGCAGATAGGGTCCCTGTCCAAATATCAGTCCATATCCATTCCCAGGCCGATACTAGTCACTTTGAGTAAAAACCAAACCAGGATAATAACACTACGGTACCTAGTACATGCATCACATCGATACAACTACTTCTATTCAAGAAAAATGAGACATCATTGCAGCTGTGTATTCCCAGATCTCATCACGTCCTCTGGTGAACCTTCTGAGAACTCTCAGGAAAAACCTGTGCGGAAACCCTTTCAACGTGAATTCCCTCTTCAGACTCAATACCCTGACAGTGTTGGGTATCTCAGAGCGGATCGAGGTGTTCTGGTCAATCCGATGTAGGTGACTACCTACAATTGCACTCTTCTGTCTTTTGCATCTCCAGGATTGGAATGATTGACAAGTTTGTACCTCCAATGTTTCATCCTCGGATTCCTTCCACATGCTCACTTCGTTCCTTGACATCTGCACGCATCTGACATACGAGTAGATATTGTCTGTGTGTATGTTGCACCCAGGAAGTCGAAACATCCAGAACCAACATCGGTCCGTTTCAAGCACAAATTACTCGGGTAGCAGGCCTCAAATTCCTGTTGCATTGACTTAACCTCCTGCGGTTGCATCCCGCATGTGATCAGCACCACGTCATCAATTAGACTAATCCCGAACACATTCCTTCAGCGTACTCCCAAACTTCGTAAAAATTGGTACTTGGCATGTGCGCACATGATGCAGGTCAGGGGCGGACTTGTGTTCTTCCCCATAGGGATGCCAATGTCCTGTTTCAGCAGAACTCCTGTGGCATACGTGTAAGTGTGTCGAAGTTCGACACGCACAAACTTCACAAGATCCCAAATCTCGATTTTCCTCCAGTGATCACCACCTGTCGTCAGACCAAATGTGCCACCTTTGCCTCTGGTATTCACTCGTACAAAATCTCTGGCTTTGCTGACATGGTACGAGGAGATCCATTCTACAGCATCCATAATATCCTTGTGAGGTAAACGACTAAACATCTCCTTGATGTCGTAAGACATCGCACTCACACCGTAACCACTCCTTCTCCTCACCATCTTCTGGTTGACCTTTGTAAGACGATCTACCAAAAAAGACACGCTTTGCAGATTAAAATGTCAATCTCCAGGTAAAGAGAAGAGCATGTAATTCAATGCTTTAACCACCAATCTCCCGGTCTTCACAGTGGCCTCATTGAACATCGGGCAAATGGGTCTGTACCTGGTGACGTCCTTCTGCTTAGGTAACAAATAAGCAGACCCCAACTTTCCCTTCCTGTCCCATTTGACCATTCGCTCCAATCCCATCGTCTGCATCTCTGCTCTCATCTCCACTAGCACATTTTCCTCAGTTTTTGAGACAATACTGTACCCTTCATTCATCACGAAAGTGGACATCATTGCTTGGAAATGTATCTTTTGGCATAACACCAGAGTTTCGCCTGCATTCCGGTCAAGAGGAATACACACCAAATTCACCAATCCGTCTAACTGCCTCTTCACTTTCAAAACTTCAGTAAGTGTGAGATGGGACATCCTATCTTCATTCTTACTCACAAAACATCGGTCAAGCGTAGCCTTATCCACATTAACCTGCTGGTCGCGGTAGTTCATACTATGACTAAAACTCGTCACGATTTCGTGATGAAGAGAGATAGTTTAATTTCGGACATCGGGCATAGGAATATTCTTAGCATTAGCGAGCAACGGTAGTTCTTCACACAACGCGCTGAGGCGTACGCACACGTGACCTTCCACACTTGGGAAAGGTAAATCTGCACAGTTGCAGACAAGCACTTCACAGGCAGCGTAATGCCGCTGATTATGCAAGATGGCCCCCACTGAGTGGTTTTTTGTCCAGACGAGACGGACCTTCTTCCGTCCACGAGCTTTAAAACACGCTCGTAAATCACAATCCATTATCATATCATTGATGACTTTCCTTAACTCAGATAGATTAATTCTGTCGTCGAACTACTCTCACAATCAGGTCGGGGCTCAAGCTTAGCTTGAACCGATCCTTGAACACTCTCTGTAACAATCTACGTAAGTACTTCCGAGTAGATTTTCGGCTGAAATCCTTAATAATAGCATATAACCGCAAGATTGATCGCATATTCCAACTGTAGAAATTCCTGAGCTTACGAGGATTATTCAGAATACCAATCAAGACGAGCTTGAGAACTTTACATGTAGGTGTCCAAATCCTCAGGTGGGTGAACTGAATCACACCCTCTTTCTCGAAATGACTCTTAGCACATTTTAAACGAAGGGTCTGTCCATCGATCTCGACGACACTTTCTTCAAACCTTCTACGTATTTTCTTCCTGGGTGTGTGTCAGGTGTTCCCTCCATCACAGCATATATCAAACTTGGTACATCCCTTGGACGAGCATTTCGACAAAAAATCACATAGATTCACAAATACACCATCCTGCTCCCTACTCGTGAATCTAATAGGGCGCATCGTTCTATGTGATTTTGACTCCTGCGAATGCGATTTACGTCGTTTCCTTGCTCCCTTTCTCGTATGTCCCTTTTTCCCCACTCCCTTCTTTGGTCCGATTGTGTTCAGAACACGTGACCACTGCGAGATATAGACTTGTTCCAAATTCAGCAACTCCTTCCCTTCGACAGT